CCTGTGTGGTGGCTCTGCTATAGCTGCTCTTATTCTGACGCAATCGCATGTATCCACTTTTCATATGGGCAACCCTTATCAGAGACAGATTAGCGTTTTACTTATCATCATATTAATTATTTTCTATTGATGCAAATCAGATGTTTTATGCAGAAAGTACTAAAATGACGAACAATCGACCATATATTTTCTACAAAACTAAATTAAACAATTATGTTTACCTTTAAAGAAGAATTATCAATTAAAATCTGAAAATAAAGCATAAAATAAAATAAAAACGATTTAAAAATCCTTGTTAAAAGCTACATATCAATCTCCTAAATCAGCGGGTCGTAAATTGTTTTACGCGGACCCTCAAGAGTCCCTAGCGCCTTTCTAGGCGGGTACGTGAGGGTCTCTTATTTAATGTTAAGATTTTTTTCCTTTGCAGATTCTGAAAAGCCCCTTAAAAATTGAAAGATGTACCATTCTAGACTAGATCTTCGAATTGCTAACAATGAAAAAACTGTACTAGAATATGTATTTCGATCAAGAAAACTCAGTTTTTTATTGTTTGCAACTACTAAGCTATTATTAAGTTATAGTAATAGCTGAGAGAGCAGTTGTGTGCAAACGATTAAAAAAATTAATTAATATTCAAAAATATATTGTAGAAACTTATTAGTGAAGATTAAGAGCTGAATTCATAGAGCACCAATACGGTAACGCTTGCATTCATCTGGATATTTCCTTATCGCATTGCCCCGGCAATGCCATCTCTAGCCTTTGACATTAATGATATTATCCTTTTTTATTAAAAAAATTAGTATTTTGTAATGTGTTATATATATATATATATATATATATATATATATATATATATATATATATATATATAATTGGATGTTCAGTGTATTCTTAAAGAAAAAAAAGAAATATCAAAAGGCCTGTATAAGTAGCAGAGACAGTCTTCAAATCGCTTAGTCACGTGTTGGGATTCACAGGGAGGGGCTCTCTAAATTTTGGGGGCTCGCGATTTCAAGCTGATACGTAAAGGTGAGTCACGGCGATCAAAAGTTTAAAAACCGATGTCTTAAATGATGATACTCTCAGCATGTATTCAGACAATAAATGCTATTCTATTAAACTATACAGGCTATAAAATTTTAGATTTTTTTTATTCGCTTCAATCGTAGGAAAAATAATGCCACTCAGTTTTTCATGTTATGCAATAAATAATTATTACATTAACTAGAAATATCCTTCTGTTAGTTCAGCCTTACTTTAATAACAGAAATGTTAAAGAACTGCACACGCAATTGAGTTTTGCAGTCGATAAGTGTGTAAGGAAATTAAGTTAGTTCGCTTTACATTTCACTCAATAGTGACTCGCTGGATATATGACAAATCGAATATGTCAAGAGCTGAGGTGATTGTGCCGATATGAATTTTGCGTTTTTTCAGTGATTAATTATGTATGTACAATCTACAACATAAAAAAACCGATGCACTAAAAAAATTACCCTAAAGAAGTGAAAATCGGTAGATGTATTGAAAACGAAATGCTTACTGCAACACAAGAATTGATTTATTTAGAAAATGCAGCTACAAAAGGAAAAAAAAAAAGTCACAATAGCGTTGACCCAATTTTTGGTCTTCACGCAAGCTGTTATCCGGCTGGTCATTGACTCTTAGAGTTTGCGGATGGATTCCTTTCTGGATTATGTGCCATACACATTCCAACAGTTGAATTAGATCGGCCCAACTTTAGAATATCTAGAGACATCAACTCACCAGAACCCAAAGTGCTCCGTTGGAGGTAGATTTGGTGACCGCGATGTCCATGGGAAATGTTAAAGGAGCACGAAGGCAAGAAATATTGTGTCGGGCAGCATTCTTGTGGGGCTGGGCTTTATCCTGTTGAAATATAGGCTCATGAGTCTGCAAAAGGAAGGGCACAGAATGTTTTCAAAGAACAGGGACGTCTTAAGGCATGGGCCAACTGGGCCCGGGCCCAGGGCCTTGGCCTCAGTGGAGGTCTCGTCTCATTCTCGACTGAGTAGGACATCATGATTCGAATAACTTTAACGGTCAAATGTTATTTCCGGTTGTATTCTCGGAAAAACTGGGAATTTCGGATTATATGTCAACTGGCAACAGAGTGACAAGACTGTATTATTATGTGATGACAGTCGTCCATGGATGGCCTATATCTAATACCGTACACCATCATTACTCATTAAGTCAAAGAGTGGCAGTTGGTTAGGCCGACTTGCGCAATTGTAAGTCATGCACATTTCTATGTTTCGGGTTACTGTTTGTACGAGTTTTGACAACATATGTTATGCTGTATCTACTTTTAAGACTCATAAGGGAGGCCTACTTTTGTGTTGGGGCCCAGGGCCTCAACATGTCTTAAGACGTCTCTGTAAACGTACCATGGTGTTGTAAAGATGTCTCGAATGTCGAGCATTGTGATCCGTTATCATAAGAAATGGAAGCTGTACCGTTATTTCTGGTTGTTGGGCTGAGGAGAGATTGATTCCCGATTGATTATCTTACCGCAGTCATTAAACTCTTCAGACACTTCTTCGTTGGTCTTTGATATTTAATTAGAAGTGATACTCATCGCAATTCTATCGCAGTCAGTGACATGCCAGATTTAATGCGACCGGCAACGCTGCAAACACTGTAGGCCCCTACTATACATATTCATATAAATATGTGGAGAACTGATTCAGAAACACGATTTTAAGAAACCGTAATTTATTTAAAAATACAAAAATATGATGAAAACAGTATGATAAAAACCACGATAAAGAGTTAAATTGTTTTCTACAATACTCATCAGTTAAGTTCACATTTCAGAAAAAATATACCATAAAAATCAATAAATATAAATTTATTTATTTATTATGCTAATTCTATATCATTTATAGCTGCAAGCATCTTGTTTTACAATGCATTTATTGTGGTAAATTTACCCTATTACTTTTTTACAATCTTTTTTAAATCAGGAGCGAAGTTGCTTTTTTGTGAAACTCTTATCACAGCTGGAAAGTAAAATGTCTACTAATTTGATTTGATTAGTTCTACTCAACTTTGAAGCTACTCTAAGGCTATTTGACGATGGATTAATGGATGGATTGGATGGATCGCTTAATTTGAGCCTCTATCAAGTTTAGCATCTCTCGAAGAGCATCTATGTTAACTCTTGTTGATCTTAAAGCGAAAGGCCAACTTTTCTTACAAAAATATATGTGAATCTGAACATAGAAAACTGTAGCGTCGACTCGTTAGACGAAGAATTCCCGGCAATACTTGTCAAATTTGATGCACAGAGTGAGCGGAATGCCTAGATCGGCCGTTGTAATCTTCCAAAGAGACCGTGTATTCTTCCCTCATGCCTGGGGCAAAACAGGTGTCTCGCTGATTCTGAAAGTCGGCTATGTTAAAAGCACACCATTTCCCTTTCTGATACTCAGATAACGTTCGGACACCACGATCAAAAGAAAGGATACCATTGTTGGGTCTTGTTGCACATTAGGACCATGAGCTATTTGAATGAAAATGAATGTCAGCCTGTTGTGACACAGAACGAGATACAGCGACGAAGTTGGTTTCAGTCGCGCAGGCCCATTGTCTCCAAGAACCGATGGAGTTGGAAGCAGACGAGGAGGTCGTGTGCAAATCCACTTCGCCCACCGATAAGAGGACCACCCTCAGGGTTTTAAGGGTTGTCTAGGGAGTTGACGAAGATCTCCTTTAATCTTCTGCATTACCTTGCACATTAGTTTTTTCTTCTTCGAAGAAACTCGATAGATGTTGCAGGGGCAGCCGTATGTCAAGGACCAAGGCAGAGGAACTGCCATGACCTTTGACAGACGGAGTGCCAGAGCCTGCGGAGCAACCGCTCGAGTGAATAGACTTTGGACGAAAACCTCGAAAGGGGTTGCGGGAACAGCCGCACCCGGGAGATGGTCCTGAACCTTAAAATGGATTAGAACTTTTCTCTCGCGAAAGGCTGTGTAGAGTAACAATTTACAAATGGATATAATGTTTTGTAAAATTAATTTAGAATAAAATGATTTTGGCACAATAAGCTGTGCGAGCTCTCACGCTACCCAGTAATGTGAAGTAATTTTAAAAGCTCACTACATCACAAACCATTTTAAGCAAAGATTTGAAAAAGTCAGCTCAAGTCAAAAAATTAAACATTTCTTCCATTTCATTTCTTAATCGTTTCAATATAAAGTTGGAAATTTCTATATTTACTATAGCAAAGACAAAACTGAAGCTACGAGATCCATCGGAAAGCTACGAGAAAGGTATTGCGCATCTTATCTACCTTGCGCATGCGTATCAATGTGATCATCTTGACAGAAAACACGAGATGGTCGTGCAAGGGAAGGAAATCTTAATTCAAGGCGAATTTTTCAGACTATCTTGGCGTGTCACAAAAACTCTAAGCGAGCTGCTGTTTGCCCAACCATGAAGTAGGAATAAGTTTTATCTTGATTTTGTTGCTTTTATGCCAGCATTGCTGGCATGACAACCAAGAGTAGGTCATTGTCTTTTACGCTGAGTTTTTTTACTTCCACTCGATCCTTTTGTTCACTTGGATGTTAGTAACCTTGATTATTTTAAACTCCACCGTCGGTGCGCTGAATTTATTTCTGTGTCTAGGTTTATCTTTTATTGCTTTTGGATCAATAGACTTACATAAGAAGAAAAAAAAGAATGAATTCCATAAGTTTATAAGATTCTTTTAAACTTGGAAATTTTTGTAAACTACTTTGAAGTGAATTGAAACACATGTAATATATAAAAAAATTAAGTCAATTCCTACTTATGTCGACTGAATCGCAATATTAAGTGACAAAATAGAAAGCGATTTTCTATTTTCTTTTCTATGTATGGTGTTGGACTATTTTTTTGTTTATTATTTATTAATTTATTAAATTTAATTATTCTAATACAATAAAATAGTAAGAAAAGAAATCACATTCTCAGAAATAAGCCATCCCGGGTGGGGTTCGAACCCACGATATTTGGATTAGAAGTCCAACGCGCCATCCATAGCACTACAGGGACACAACGATTTTCCTGTCTATATATGCTTTTGGACTATTATTTTTGTTTGTTACTATTTGTTCATTTTTAAATTTAATTAATGAATTAATATTTGCAAAAGAACCGTATTAACATAAAGTGTCCTCCATTACAAGTTTTAAAAAATGTATTTGAACTTGAATGGATGAACAGAAAGTATTTTCTGAACGATTGAAAATTTGAACAATATATATAATAAAATAAAAGCGGAGAAGTTCTAGAACCTACAGTGCTAAAGAAGGAAGAAATTGGAATTCACAAGACACGACAAATGTAGATACAAAAAAGTTTTTGGACTAAACTGGAGACCTATTAAGATTTCTTAAGCTGTCTCTGAATTAGGCCATCGATTTAAGGTTATCAATACTTTATGGATCCAACCTTCCCCGTACAACAGAAATTTTCGACATAATAGGGAAAAAAATAGAGCCATGTTGAAAGGTTAAGCCTATTTATAACACATGGATGAAGAACCTGAAAATATAGTAAAATGAAATAAAGAAAAGAGAACAATAAAAATGAATCTCTCAAGGAGAGGAATAATAAAAAAAATTTTATAGAAAAAATTAGGATAAAAACTTACATGTAAAATAAAAACTCTGGAAATCGAAAAATCAACCTTCTACGTTAAGATCCCACACGAAATTACGTAAAGGATTGGAACATCAACACAAGAAGGAAAAAACCGTGGCGCCACCTGGATAGTTATTTTGCAATAAATATGTATATTTATATTTCGTAATATTTAAACAAGTAGGAATGTGATTGATTGTCTTTTAAATGGAAGAAATTTCCACACATTAACAGGCAGATTCTTTCAGAGTAAATCATAAAACTTATTTTGGAATTCTGTTGGGATTACAGCAGTTTTTTTGTTCTGCTAAGAAACAACACATATAAATCAATGAAACGCACAATCGCTGTCAAATGTTTGATTCTAATTTTGCATCTTTTCATTGCTCTTATACAAACAATGAAGATATTTTAGACATTTTTGAAGTTCTCTTCAAAAAATCGCCTTAGACTCCTCTGGAGTTTTCGAGGTGAATCTAATTTTATCACTAAATTTGACAGCCGAATTTGTCACCAAGACCACTCATTACTAATTCGTGGCACACAAGCGATCTTTCCGGCCATAATACACTTTCGGCAGAGAAGCAAACAAAGTGCAAAATTTCGCATTAATATAATTACTAATGTAATTTATATGTGGCGATTCGGATAGTAACATGTCTGAATAATTATCTAATATTTTGAAATCTATCGCCAATAGTTATGCGGGATTTGAATCATAAATTTCAATTTAGTTAAATTTAACTTATCTTTTTAAACTCATTGAGAATAACTCATTTTTCTAGCATTGATTCTATACTTATATAAAACGCTACGTCTTTAGCATCATATATATTTCAGTAGCATAAAAATTAACTAAAGGATTAATTTTTGATACATTTTTCCGAGCATTGCGTCAAACTTTCAAAAGGGCGTTGATCCTTCTGTCTGAAAGTCAGCCCTTAAAAAATAGGTAGGGAAAAGAAAAAGGGAAAAAAGTGAATGAGACGTGTCTCAAATTGCAAGAAGTCACGATAGTCTTCAATCATCGCTTTCTTCTTAACAGATGAGATTTTTATTGAGTTTTGTGTGTGTGTTTGTCTTTTTCTTCCTGTCTTTTTAAAGATAAATATTAAGTGATAAATGTACGTCGTGGAGGAGGCAGTTTACGTAGAAAAAAAAAACAATCAGCACATAATAGCCTGCGTATCAAAAGGTTTCAGTTTTTCTAATGTGTGTGTTTTGCAGAAATGTTTTCGCATTGCCTTTTGTGGTAATCCCGATTCTGTGTACATTGTTGCAATAGGAGATGTAATATTTTGTAACATTTAAGCATTTTCTATTTATAACATCATTAACTCCTTCCCGGTATTTCCCGAGCTGAGCTCAGGCATGCAAAATGTACCGTCCTGGCTCATCCCGAGTGTAGCTCGTTTACTGTGAACATTTACACCCGGGGTGGACATTACGTCGATCGCGATCGAATGGTAGACCGACAAGACATCTAGAGGTGACCGCTTGAAGATTTTAGCATTTTGTAATTATGTACGGAAATATTCAAGATTGGCTGATGTATGCGGACCAGTGGCGCACACAGGAATTTTTCAAGAGAGGGGGGAAGAGGCCGGGGTCGAAAGTTCACCATTTTTGTATCATGCTCCTTTTGATTTTGTCGATTTTCGGGAACAAAACACAGTAAAAAAACTAATTATTGAATAAATAATTAGCATTAATTAATAAAATTAATCATTATTAACAAGTAATTAATTAAACTTTACGTACTATATACATAGAATTATAATCAATCGGAAAAAAAGCACTGGCTTTGGGGGGGGGTCTGGACCCCCAGGACCCCACTCCCTTGTGTGCGCCACTGATGCGGACTAAGAGAGTCTTCTATTACCTGCAACAACGAAAACTAACAAGATGAAAATGTTTTTTTTTATTTATGTATTTTGAATTGTTCGATAATAAATGCATGATTTGATATCATTATATTTATGGCTGTGTTATTATGTTTGAATCGTGGGTTTTGCTTTAAACGCGGTTTTAATTTCTCGTCAAAGTATCAGTTTTTATTTAATTTTAGTTCTGTAGGTAAGTACTGAGTAATAATTTCTTATTAATCATTAAAATAATGTGGACCTTTTTCTACCTCACCACACCTATGACTCTGGGCATTGGTGCACACAAGAATTTTTCAAGGGGTTGGTGGTAGGGGTCGAGGGCCGAAAGTCTACCAATCTCACATCTCATCCCCCAATACGCAGCCAAACATTTTTCTTTGATCTTGTCGATTGCCGCGAACAAAAAACAGCAAAAGAATAAATTACTAAATAAATAATCAACATTAATAAATAAAAAAAATTATAAGTTTTATGCACAATATACATGAGATTATAATCAATCGGGGAAAAAATTAAGGACTATGAGGGAGAGTCCGGACCCGAGGACCCTCCCCCTCCTTGTTAGCGCCACTGACAGTAGATGGACCACAACACATTGAAAAAATGACAAGTAGAACGCACCCTTGAAAAGTCTGCCCACCCCTGATTTACTCTGTACAATCGGTCTTTCTCGAATTATTTCACATGCTTTTATATAGTTCCGAAAAATTGAAAAGTACCACTCGGTGTGGAATTTTCTCCAAAAAGAGGACGTCCTTCTGCCAAGCATCCTCCTTAACGCTTGTCTGAACGACCTTTTGTTCACTACATTACCCGAAAAGAAAAGAAAACTAATCTAGCACGATAGTGTATTATTTGCTGCTCAAACAAGAAAAAAGAGAAACGAGATTCTACTGACCAGATTGCGATGTTGGGTGATGTGCGGTACCGTGGTTTCGAATTTATCATACTCTTGATCGAATTTTGATTAATAATTTCATAATCATTTACTTAAATGCAAAAGATGCGCATTGCAAAAAATTACGTAAACTAATATATGTATATATAAAGAGTGTTTTTTTCCAGGTATAGAAGCTTAAGTTGGCATTACTTTCCAAGATGGAGACCGATTTAACAACTGTCAAGTGATTTTTATTCTCAGTTTGGTTTGGCAATTCATCAAAACGATCATCGAGCAAGGCGTGGATTCGTCGAATGGGCCACGAACGAGATTGCCGTTGTTCCCGATTTTTATAAGCGAATTTTGTTTAGCGATGAAGCGGACTTCTGGTTGAATGGCTACGTCAACAAACAAAACTGCCGCATTTGGAGTGAAGCTTATCCACAAGTGTATGTCGAAACACCGTTACATCCAGAAAAACTGACTGTTTGGTGTGCTTTATGGGCTGGTGGAATCCTTCTTCAAAAACGATGAAGGCCACAACGTTACAGTCAATGGTGATCGGTATGGAGCCATGATTACTAACTTTTTCATTCCTGAATTGAACAATCATGATGTCCAGGAGCTGTGGTTCCAAAAAGACGGCGCAACGTGTCACACAGCTCGTGCCACAATCGATTGATTGAAAGACACGTTGGGTGACCGCCTAATTTCACGTTTTGGACCTGTGAATTGGCCTCCGAGATCTTGTGATTTAACACCGCTAGACTATTTTCTGTGGGGCTATGTAAAGTCATGGGTCTATGCGGATAAGCCACAAACGCTTGACCATTTGGAAGACAACATTCGCCGTGTTAGTGCCGATATACGGCCACAAATGTTGGAAAAAGTCATCGAAAATTGGACGTCCAGATTGGACTACATCCGACCAGTCCTATGCCAGAAATCATATTTAAAATGTAATGCCACAAGAGTATCTTTCGAATAAAAAAAATTCATGTCAATCGCATAATACATCGTTGTTTTATTGCAATTTAAAGTTCTATACCTCTAAAAAAACACCCTTTATATTCAACAAACTTGTTTATTAAAGTACATTTTATTTACATAGATATGTATATATGCAGGTTTTAAATAGAAATCACAATGAACAAAAACATTCACAAGAAAATGAAATTTAATACAAAATTTAGCAATACCAAAATCTTTACAGCTTTCCGTTTTCGCCATCTGTTTTTGATCGACAGCATTCAGAAACTTTTCATTTTAAGCAAGATAGCAGTTTGGGCAAATGAACTCTTTTCCATTGTGATCGTAAAAAATTCTTCTAAAATAGTGTGTGGGAGGAGACCGATGAACAATCTCATTGATTTTTACTCACACTGGGATGTACTTGCCACTGAATTCCAAAGCCAACTGATGAGGGATTAGATGTTTTTGTGTGGTGGTAGGGATGGAGGATAAAGGTAGCTTAGATAAATAAAATTGGCTCGTGTTGCATGCTTTTCCGAGAGTATTTCAAAGCTGTTAGCCTCCTTTCTACGAAACATGTGTGAAACCACTTCTCTTTCACTTCACACCCTTCTTAAATCTCCCCTGCGCGAATGGTGTTTTCCGTATTTTGTTTAATTTCCGAAGGGAAA